GAAGCAAGATAAAGGTTATAAATGGAGAAAACGTAAAGAAAACATCAGACGATATGTTATATACGAGGTATATGTATGTGCATAGTATTGGCAATATCTAACGTAAGTAGTGGAACAGCACCGTGAAATATTTTTTTCTCGAAAAATTCGATTGAAACATACACATTTGAAGTTGGTTTGAGGGAATTCCAGCATAACGGAATCGATATTTCCTATTTTCTCACTTAGTCATGCTCTTTTGGGAGGATGCCGGTATAGCTTCGGGGGATAATAGGTACGCGAAATTGCTTTTCTCTTGTCCAGGAAATTCCTGTTCCTCTGATTCTCGGATTTTTTTTTCCTATTTATAGTCTGAACTAGTTGTTCCATTTAAGAGGGGAATTTTTCGCGTCTTCCTGCGGGACGTCAGCGTTTTCGATCTCATTCAGAGATTCCTTCAATGCATTCATTACTCGATCATTTCCAGTTTCGCGCGCGAACGCACTATTCCTTCAGCCGGCTCTTCCATGCAGTATATACGCCTGATTACGTTTTCCCTTGTATTCAAAAAGATTGCGACGCACTGCCTTCTCTCTCCCTCCCGAAGAGAGCGTCAGGTGCAGTTGAGTCACACACAAATATTGTATATGAAGCCTTAGTGCTCTCGGTGTGGTCACCACCCACGCAAAAATGCTACCGATGATTCACCGGCGATTCAACGATGAATCAACGTCGGTTAAGCGTTGTCTCGCCACTGGAAACAGATTCACAGCAATCCACTTTTGAGGTTCCGCGAATGAACATGTATATACTTCGAAGGGGACAAAATGACCCCGGACAAAATGGTCCCAAATGCAATGTAGGACATAATGGCCCCACACACCAGAAAACCATCTTCTTTGAACAAGGATTAGGTTTTCCCTCTCAGATGTGGATATGCTGTTTAAATGCTTAAAATCAATTAAAATAATTATAATTCATTTACACAATTTTTTCAATTAATGCAATTTTACTTGACCCACCCCACCCTATTTACCCTCTAATCCTCTGATCCTAACCCTCTGCTCCATCTAATCCTCTGATGCAATCAGCACTAGCAACGCCCAACCGCTTTCAATGATGACTATCAGTTCACTTTCACTTTTACTGCAGCTGTATTTGTAAAAGAAAAAAAAAGAAAAAAGAACAATTAACCACTATTCAAATATTCATAGGTTTACCGAGTACAGAAGAAAGAGGAAGGAAGATTCTCCCGTGGAATAGATGATTGTGTGCATGGTAAGTATTATATATTTTATCATCTCGTTATATCTAAGAGGCAGCATTACTTGCCAAATATATATTATTCATTCTTGAGTGTGTATTTTGAATAAGGTCAAACAACGCACTTTTGCAAGAGACTGCAGGGAATTCCCCCAAGAAGAGGCAGGAGCGGGTATACCCCTACAAGGAAATGCACCAGAGGCTGAGAACACTTTTCACCCTGTATGGAGAGGGATTTAAATCCATGGAGGAGGTCCTGCATGGAGTTGGTCATACCATCCGATTTCAGTATTTGTTTTACTTCAAATAAAATTGCATTCATTGAATTAATTTTAAAAAATAAATTATAATTATTTTAATAGATTAGCAATTTCATTTAATGATTGACGTTTCCAATTAAGCATCCGACAGAATTCGAACAGCATATCAACATCTGAGAGGGAGAAATTAATCCTTATTCAAAGAAGCTGGTTTTCTAGTGTGGGGCCATTTCGTCCGGGGCCGTTTTGTCCTACATCCCCAACAGAACATCGGACATCTGCCCTCTTCATTTCTACCGTATCTGGCGAGGCAATTAACATGAAGTGACTTTCGCTTTGGGAATGAAACCTCAATTTCCCGTTGTCAGGAGATCGTACTTACGGGAATTTCGGGGGTCAGTCAGAGTCCCATGAGATTTGAATCACAAACTCAACATCTCGGGCTATCTTCACAAGATGTAAATGCGATTGCAATGAATTCCTCAGAAATGTAATTTATTACTCATGCTGTCATTCCATAAATGTATGCTTGAGTTTTTCGAAGATTATTGGAAGCTTTTTTTCTGCGTGGACGATGAAAGAAGTGTTCGCATAAATGTCAGATTACGTACATGGGAGTTTTGGGATTTATTGCATACAGTATCAGAATTGTTTCCTTCTTACAGCAAAGCAGAATACATTAGAATCCCTATTAATAGCTGAAGATGAAAGCCAGCCCAGGGAGACGTCTGGCAATGCTGGCCCTAAGGAAGGAAGAAGGGGGATTCAGGCCTCAACACAAACCTATGACACCCACAACAGATGTGGGTTTCCCTGGAAGAACAAAATCCGAAATATTTTCTATTATCGTCGGTCACCTGGTGAGAAGATGAGACCACGCAGATATAGCCGCGAAATAGGCACATAGGGCGGCACAATAGATGAAGAGATACATCTAAATTCGTACCTAATCAATCAGATATTTATTCAAAAGTAGCACACCAAAATGAGTCAACTAAATATTTATGGAGATCTAGTTAAGAGTTGTCACGCATTAATTGTCTAGTATGCTCTACAGTATTCCTTAATATAGCAATCGTATCACAATACATCATTAGTATTGGAATTACGTGGTACGATAGGTGTTCTTAATAGGGGAAGGATTGTGCTACTCATGAAGGGTATGAATGAATCTCCCAAGGGGGAGTATGGAATATCATGGGTGAGAATAGAGGATGACCTTGAGTGGATCTCTCGAGGGAATGCATATATCGCCTAGGAGTGATGCCGAGGGGCGTGTGCTGCCATAAAAAAATTGATGTATCTTGAAAAGAGGGTGAGGCATTTGCACCTGAGGGTAGTCATGCAACCACCAAGGGTGCTGGACACCACGGTGAGCATTCTCACCCAAGTTTCATGGTGATCATGCTCACCCCTAGAGTGGCTGTCCAGTGACAAATCATGCACACTCTTAAAGTCGTGGGATCTGACCTTTATTTTTTGTTGCGTAACATCCACCATACAGTCTTAACCTGTCGCCATGAGACAATCATTTGTTGAGCCCAATGAAGGAATCCCTTCTCAAACATCATTTTCAGCCCAATGACGATGTCCAAACTACAGATAGTCGTTTAATCAACTGTTAGAGTTACCATTTTCCAGCGATTGAATACAGAAACTCGTCAAGAGATTTAGACTGACGGATGCCCGACATCGGTCGCGCAGAACATGCCCCGTATCCTGCACGCTAAGGTTTTCAGGGGACGCGAAGGAGAAAGTTCACTACTGGAAAGAGAAAAGGAAAAACGATAAGAGTAAAAGACAGTCGCAGTATCACGATGGAATTGAAGAGGATGAATTCCAAAATGTTGCGTTTGTTGTTGCCAAAAATCTTGAGAGAGTGTGCCTAAATCATATCGAGAAAGGAGATGTGAATGGATGGAGTACCTCCTCAAAGTGGACTAGCACACTCCAAAATTGGACGTGTTGTGTATATAGCCGGGAGGCTGAAAAGAAAGAGAGAAAGCCTCATCATGGTCGAGTATACCAAAAATGCAGACTTTACAATGCAATTACATTAGGAGCAACATGAGAGAGAGCTATCCCTTAAGGAATAGCGAGGATGGAGACATGCACTTTGAAAAGTCAGAAGTTTCAGAGGTCCAGAGGAAGGCCGTTTCCAGGAAAAAACGAGATTGGTTTTCTTTGGCTTGAAAGATAGTTCATTAGGGATGCACATTTGGATCCCAGGTATCTCTTTGGAGATAGGCACTCACCTTCTCCTTAGGGACAAGAGGAAGATGGATTGTAAGGAGAGTGGCATCATCTGCAAACAGGTGTACCCTTCATTGCAGAAGGGGTGTGATTAAATTGACCTCCAGAGTGGATTGCTAATGAGTTCGTGGAGCAACCTTGAATGCTTGCGGCCGGACATGAAAATCCAACTTGCTTGCTTTGATAAGCGAGCTAGTAATATAATGAAACGTTAGCTGCCAGAAGTTGTATTCGGCAGAGAGATTAGGAGATAGAGCGGGCTGCAGGCAAGCAATTACGAAAGTGCCACTTACCAGATTTGTCTTTTTTCTGGGTCTTTAAAAAATTTAAGCGCAATGACGATATTTTTCTGGCCATTGATGCTCTTCAAATGCGGGAACTCCAACACTTACAAAAGGTACTAAATAGAACGAATGTCATTAGATTCCTCTGACCGAGTTGTAATGTCATAGCATAAAAATGAGGAAAATAAAAGAAAAGCTAAGGTACGAAAATTCTTTTACTCGTAATAATTCCTTTTCAACGTGATTATGGACCATTTTCATGACTAGTGAATTACTTCTACGCGCTTCTATACTATCATCTGTTTGACTATCCTTACCTGAACTAGGATTGCTGCCATCGAAAGACATTGCAGACCAGTCCCATATCGCAAGAGTGCAAGTAATGGTCACTTAATCTCGCCTGATTCTCCAACACCGACAGGATGGTGTCCTCGTATCCCAAGGGGTTCACATTCCATTTCCAAACACGTTCTACATTATAGTCTCGGTACGGTTGGATAAAAGCGAAAGATAAATTCTCTCACCAGCTCATTGAAGGAAGTTCCACTTGTTGGGAAAAATGGGAACAGTGCGTAGAGGAGAATAAACGCATAAAATGGAAGTTTTTTTCTTTCTTTGCGTAGAATTTTTATCGGCCGGCATCGCATAAATATTCTCTTGGATTTTCGCATAAAAATTCATTTGAAATTCTGATGACTCCTGTTGTATGATTTCCCCACCACGCCCTCGATTCGTGGCAAGGATAAAGGACGCAATATTGCAGATTCCGATATTAAAGCTTACCATTATACGAATGAGGGCATCGTAGTTAAGAGAGACTCGTAGCAGAGGAAAGACCAACGACGGTCATCAGCATGAATTGCGTTTATCTTACACGAGTGGAGCGTTACCGTTCCCCGTTAGAATACGAGTAGAAGCTGCTAACAGTCACAGAAAAACAGAGATGAAATTTGAGGCGAACCTGGAATGATGTAGCTGTGAGACTTCCTTTTAGCTTCCCATGGGAATCCATGGGATGTCCTGGGGATATCCCCTTGCTGGGCCTTCGTGCGGTCCGAGGACTCATTAAGCACCATTCCTGAGGGAGTCCTCGAGCGATCAATACCTCTCCTCGATTGTCTACTGAAAGTACTTTTTTACTTCTCGCAAGAGCATAGGCCTTCTGTCATATCTATCTCACATGGACGTCGTGACTAGGCACATGCTCTTCCTTCGCTCCCTTCTCGATGGAACCACGAATACACGGGGACGATAAAAAAAGCAGCTCATAATTCTTTTAAATACCCTTATGACATCGACCCAGACGACCAAACTGAAAACGACGAGGACGTCGACTACGATTACGACTTATTACTGGTAATTGAATTCTACGATGCTCAATTCCACAAAATTCAGCAGGGTGCCTGCATTGCTTTAACTTAAGCACTGGGTACTAGTTCTGTTCGTGTTCCTTTCGTCTTCGCTGAATGTTCTTGAGGACGAACAGAGTGGCTTTGCCAATGACGCTATTGCTCTCCCTCGTGCTGGTAGCAACGATCCGGAACTGTAATAAGATGCTCTGGCCCAACCGTTTGAACCAGTGCAAGCTACTGAAGCTGATATTGAGCCAATTCTGACTCAGTTGCAGGACCCAGATCCCTACATCGAGAAACTCTAGGACACACAGCTGTTCGCAACTGCTATAGGATAAAAAGCCATGCGTTTCATCGTGCACGGAGAGGCCCTCAGCATGTCAAGAAGCTTTTAAAATTGTAGCTGTTTTGTGACCGTACCTATTCCAGACCAGACGAGGAGCCAATCAGGAGGATATACTTTTCTTAACTGTTGGGACATGAAAAAAATGATGTTGGGAACTCTAAGGCATCGCAGCGCAAGTGAACCCTTTTATCTTCCTGAACGATCGGGGAGAAGAGAGAGTATCTTGTACAAGATTTCCAACAGACAAGAACTCGAAGCGGGCGATCACGTATCATTACGTGTCTATTACCTTCGCTGATCGAAGCAACATGTGTCAATGGACGGTCAAGTGGTGGCGAAACAAGGGACATCGGGTACCGGTCTTGACACACCATACCTCGACGAACAATTGGCAAAGGCAAATGTGCGATATGATATTGATGTACCAGATTATCTTGTGTATGTCATAAAGCATTCTGTATCGGCACTAGTCATGGACAGGGTTCTTCCAAATGCAACTCCAAGAAATATTGGCGCTATCGAAGAGATGTGAGTCCAAAGAGAAGCATTAACTTCCTCAAAATGCCATATGTGGTATGCCACGTGGTTTGCCTATGTGTAAGTGGGCAATGGGCTTCATAGACTATTATCTTATTTGTTGTCAGACTATTACCAAGATACACTTTAAAAATTTTTCTCTCGTGTGTCTATCGACTCCACTTTTCACGACCGATTGATTAGATTCGCCATTGCACGAGGCCATAGCGGAATTACTTTCTCTCGACAAAATCCATTGAGTGATATAAGTGGTATCTTGACTCTAGTGATACCTAGAATTTTGAGCATGAAAATATTGATTCCAGATTACCCGTGGATTTTATTGAGGCCTTTTTCTTAGATCATTCTCAATCCCTTGAAACCCTACAACATAGCTCGTATATCATGCGTTCTGATTCTTTCACTACTTCAGATAAAGCGTTTTTGTGATGCATGAGCCAGGAGCTCGGTCCTTGAGGCACCCATAAAGTACATTCCAGGGTCTTTTGATTCTATCGATACCTTATCTGTCAAAATAAGTTATGCAACTTATGCCATGTCACCAGAAAAACAAGAACCAGGCCTTATCTATAAACTATGAGAACATTCCTTAAGAACTCAGGTTTTATTGAGAGACAATCTCGAATGATACTCGACTTCCGCACAGATTGGACTTAACACGATGCCTTTAAATCGATCCTATCAAATGTGAAAGTTTCGACCTTCCAAGTTCTGTTTCACACGACAGGATACTTGTAATTTCGCTGAAAGGAGAAAGAAATTGCTTCTTGCTTTCCACTTTTTCGCATGAGCCAACCCGGTGCTCGGCGCTATGAGGCATTAGAAGCTCCAATGAGAGTTGAATGATGAAATGGCATTAAAGTAGAGCTGATTATGAAATCGAGAGAAGAAAAAAAGGGGTTCCCGGTGCTTTCCTGCGCGACTCCGCTTGCCTCCAGCCGACGCTTCAATGCTTAATAACTCTCCGTTTCACTACGGGGGAAGCCGAAGGGTGGGAAAATATCCTTATCAGTTCAAAGACCTTCCTGGTCTCGTGCTCTCACGAAAGGTGACAGAAGTTGCTATGTGGACGAATTCCAGCTCGACGAGGATCTCCAAGTGTCTCTATGACGGAAATTCTGGCTTAAAAATGGGAGACGGGGATGTTTTCAACTAATCCTTCCATTAAATCTGTTTCGTCAGCATTGCTGGGTGGTATGATTTCCCAGTGGCAGATTGTCATGATACTAAAATAGGAATTTAAACAATTTTAGACATTCGCATTCTGAAGATAGCTCCACGGGCGTCAACTTCGTTTTCACATTCTGAAACTTCGTGGGCCGGTTGTACTGCTTCTCTTAAGACAGACTTTGATGCAAAATCTGCTTTTGGGAGCCTGTCTTTAATTTTAGACTTTCCCAAGTCAGGCTTTTCGAAAAGTTAGGCTCTTGCAAATCTGACTTTAAATGCAAAGCAATGCAACTGACTCCGGTTTGGCTTTGCGAGTGCGAAATAAATCCGGCTCTTTTTCCCTCGGAGAAATCTTTGTTTCAAGCCTGCCTCTACACGAGGAATGGAGCCGAAGTCATTAGCGCGGTTTCGGAACCACGAATACAATAGCTGCGTATTTGTACGAGGAGAGCATATGGAACTCACGATCGTTCAGGGGGAGAGAAGCTGCTGAGAATATTAGGCTAGCACCACAAGTGCTTCTAACACTCCCCTCTCTCTGCGTCTCTATCTCGTGTGCAATGGTTTGTTGGGAACGTTGCCGGTGATACAGGGAAACCTTATCAGGTACCATAGAGACATCTCCGCCATGCTTTCATGTGTCAGACAGGTATCTGGGTCCATAGACGGAGAAAGCGACCTGCATATTTGTTGCATGACTCTTATTTTTGGAGATAGGTTTAAATAAAAGCGATTGTGAAGGTAACGAGAGACAATTCCTATTTTAGTGGGCCTCCTTTCCTGAAAGGAAAGAGACCACTTATGGTCCCGTCCTGTTCGTCCGTGTGTCACACTATGGTTGTCTGGCGATGACTAAAAAAATATCTGCCTGATCAAAGTGAAAATTGGCAAGCGGATAGATATGAACAAGATACAGGCTGAGTTCGTTTTGTGACGAATTTGCACCAAAATTGGAGTTTTATTGCAATTTTGGATTTGAAATTTGGTCATGGAGGGGAGGGCATGAGTACCCGTTTGCCCATGCCCATGCCCATGCCCATGCGCGTGCGCGTGCGACCCAAGCTTTGGGCGCTGTGCCGTGTCAGCGACTAGAGCTGTCAGTTCCCTACCAACCTCCGTGACGGATGGATTCAACCACGCACAGCCCTCCATCCTCCCATCACCGTTTCATGGGCACCGTTTGTCTATGTTTTCCAAATATAAATGAGAAACGATGTATTTGATTGTCGAAGACCGGAAAGAGATGGCATTTTGTTCAATTAGGTGACAAAATGAGGGTTTCCTCAACTGAAAGAAGACCCACTACTGGACAGGGCTTGCCCAACTTGTTCTCATTGCACTTCGATGAGCCACGTTTTCTGTCCTTTCCTTTGCCGTTCATCGAGAACGCCCAACAACGTCTTCGGTTCCCAAACCGAATGACCCTTTCGACCTAAACCCAAACCCAAATGACACTTTGGTCATTTAAAGAGATCTTATACAATTATCATCTATGTACTTCAATTTTCGACAGCATTTGAATTCGACGATTTCTAATGTACAGGGTGTCCGAAAATGAATGGTACAAAAATAGGCATGAATTATCTTTTTATTGTCTAGTAACATCAATATGCAGTAAAACAGTCACTCACCTAGTTTATCGCAATATCCGACAGGCAAATGAATCTGAAGGCGTCTGGAGATAAGGTCCATGCAAGAGAAACTGAGCAAACCGAGCGAAGTGGGAGCACGAATGTGGTTCAATAATGAAAGTACGAAGTGGATTCCAACGATAATGAGAAAAACCTGCATCGCGCAGAAACTTAATTCTACGTTGGGTGAAGAAATCTAACGAGGATGGTAATGCGGAAAAAGAAAAATCTCCAGGCGAACGCGTGAGTCACGTCCGGCTGGCAATGTTGCACAATCCCAAGAAACGAGTGAGAAGAACCACAACGGAGTTACGGATGCCACGGTGAACTATTCCGAGTCATCTTGCGTCGTCGATTGAAGTTCATGTTGTACCAGTTGGACAGCTGCAGGAAGATTACGCAGCGCGTGTAGAATCGTGTGGTACTTTCATCGTGATGATCGGAGACGGTCGTTTCCTTCCTAACCTTTTTTTTCTGATGAGGCAACGTTTAACCTCAAGGGACGAGTTAATCGACATGATTATAGGGTCTGGGGATTAGACGATCTGCAAGAAACCAATGAATTTGAAAGGAACTCGCCAAGTGTGAACGTCAGGTGTGTCGTGTCAAGAAATTACGTTTGCTGCCATTTTTTTCGATGGACGGTTAATCGACGACAATACCAGGAAATGCTTATACCCCTTAGGATATTCCGTATCTCAACTGAGAAATGAAAGGACTCATGTATACAACCACTACTCTCTGCATCGGTGTTGAAGAGTGCCTGAACAAATCCAATGCTTAGGCTCCAAAAGTCATGATAACTTCCACTTCTTCCTAATCAGATCGCGGAATTTGAAGTATTTTCCTCATTGGTCTCAGGAGGACGAGCGGAAAAAAAACGATAATGTATCCATTCAAAAGGCAAGAAATACCATATTCGCAAAATGGGAGTGGCCTAATTAGTTCACAAAACGTATTTTCTCACGTCACCTCTACATGTCATTTGGCACCTGTGAAGCATGCATCCATCGAATGAAAACCCGTACATGCTTTTCTGCCAAATCTTTATTTTTTATTTTTTTTTCATTGGTTTTTCTGCATGCACTGGAAATGTGAAAGGATGAATTTCCCTCCTAAAGCTCAACATCTCTTCCAAGTGATAAAAAAGAACGAGAACATCTTCCCAAAGGAGAGTTCTAGGCCAGCGAACATACACGTGGGCATGTTTTATGACAGAACTTGTCATCCTTTCTGTATACGAGCATAGTAGCATACCATCTGCAAAAAAAATCAGTTTATTTAGTCATAGATAGAGCTAACAGCGCAATCGATGACGTCAATGGGTGACCCCGAGTCGTCTGAAGAGTCTCGGTTTTCTTGCGATAATACCTATATTAACATCGAGATTCTGAAAAGAATAGTTTAGCAAAAGCAATGGTTCCACAGTGCATCATGGAAAGAGGAACATGAGATGGGGATAAATGGGCGCGCAGTGCGAACAAGCGAGCAGAGACAATGCAGAGAGGTGGGACATTTGTATCAATGAGATTAACCACATTTTAGTGACTCAATAACGAAATAATTGTTGCATGGAATGAAAAACTGTCTTTAACGCCTATATGAACGCTCACTGCAACATGAATCATGATGGAAACGGCTGCAGTGCCTTCAGCACCTGCGATCAGATTCTATCACCTGCCCAGATTCCCTCGATCCGCCGAAAGGCGTTTCACGGTTTCGCCGCGTGAGATTTCATCTCGAACAGAGATGAAGTCGGATTTGACTAGAAGGGGTAGATTCTGATCCCGCTGTTAACATGCCGAAAATCATAAAGTATTTTTCAATACTACAGCGGCGTGAGAGAAAATTCAAGACTGACAGGATATAAAAGCACGCAACACAAATGAGATAGTATCCCAGTCCTTTTTTCCCCAAGGCGGCCTGAGCGGCGGCTGTTTGCTGGACATGTTGCCACTTCTCTGCCGCAGGACAGAGGCACAAAAGAGGCGTATGTATTCTTACTTCGGGACATTTAACTTGACTTTCAGTCTAACAGTACTCTAATGGTGTGAACTGATGCCTGTTACACGCAGGAGCTCACGGACCAGTTGCACACCACTGATGGATGCTTAGAGCATAGCGGCATGCTTGATGCTGCAGAAAACGAGCAGAGGAACAAGCTGTCATTAACGAAGCAGCGCATAACAAAACGCTGGTGTTTTTTTAAATTCCATCGTCAACCTATAAACAAAAGAAAGACTTGCCCAGGCGAGCCGTACATCCCCACGTTATTCTCGCATTGAGGAATCACAGCTTCAGTTGAAATCACACCCGAGACGGTCGTATTGCTGCCAAAGGAATACTTCTTACAGTGCTTCTTAGAATTAGTCATGCAAAAAAAAAACATTACCTCTGCTTACGGTTCCACGGTAAATTTTCACTAAACGGATTCGGAATTGAACATAGGATGGAAGCAAATGAAGACGATGTACAAAATGGTAAATGGAATGTTGAAAACTCCTCATGGAGCCTGAGACACAGGGGCGGGGGTGGATTTTGGATACCGTCGGAGGCCCGCCAAATGTTCTTGCATATACTGTATATAACTCTTGAAAGACAAGGGTAGGATGTTGTTCAGGATGTAGTCTGGCAAGAAGCTCATTCTGATATCAGTGTTGTAAAGCCATTGGATTTGGGTCTTGCTCGGATCTCCCGGCACCGAAGAATACACGAATCCACTGGGATATACCTCTGCCCTGTCCCAGGATAAAACAGATCTCGATGATCAGGCCGATGGAGATTCCGTTCTCTATGAGAGTGACAAGGGCTGAGTAGATTTTAAACTTTTTTCTTCTTTCACTTTTTGCTTTTGATTCATGTTCTCCAGACCGGAATTCTTCTAATTTGGATCTTGCCCATAAATTGCAAGCGGTGGTCCTTCCGAATTATTTGCACCGAACAGATTGAATGGACATGAAATTTGCCAAGCCACCAGAGAGCATTCTCTCAAGCTACCTACCTTAAGCAATGTTCCCTAGGGCTTCAATTTCACCGGTTCACTTTTGGCGGAAGATGAATTTTCTTTATTTGCGGTACTGAGTCAGACGACTTTTCAGTTCCTCTCAGTCATAAGCAGCAAGAATCAAGTGATTTCATCGAGAGATTGTGGATCCCATAGACATTAGAGCAGGGGTCGGGAACCTTTTTGGCCACGTGAGCCATATTAAGATTGAGCTAAGTGCTTGTGAGCGAAAGATTTTCAGAACAATAGAATTTTTCCCTGAAGTTGGCAACTGACATGCATTCTTTGATACATGAGAAAAATGAGGAAAAACCATGATTTTTAGCCATGACTCAATGAGCAAATCTTTTCGGCTTGTGAGCCAAATTTGGCTCATGAGCCATAGGTTCCCGACCCTTACTTTAGAGGAAGTTATATTCCTCCTCCATCAATGATAACGAAAAGCGACAACAAATTAAGTGGAATTCTCCATCAATCAAGTGGAATCCAACACGAGGATACTTCATTTGCTTTTCTCGAGTCATCATTCACGTTGATGAAAATGGGAGAGGGCCAGTTTTGCGGGGAAGAGGAAGAGAGAGGGAGAGAGAGAGGAAGAGAGAGAGGAAGAGAGAGAGGGAGAGAGAGATGGGAGAAATGTGATTGACATTCATAAAGTAACTGGGGACAAGAGGAGCGTGGTGAGAGGATCTTAAAATTTCTTCACATAGGAGCGCCGAAGAAAGCAGTATGATTCTCACTCACTTCCAATGGATCATCTCCAGCCGGCATTAGTCGTACTGTAAAATGTGACGTTTGACTAAACGTGACATTTTGTTACCTAATGCATAGATATCCAAAATATAGAGAAAATTCAGCGCCCTCGAGACTTTTCACAACGAAGCGTTGGGCGAATCGCCCTAACCTACTGGCGTAATGTCTCACAGGTTATAAAAGAAGACTAAGAATACCTGACGTATTTGTTCGTGGCTTCATATCCGGGCCAGGATGTGCTGGCATAAGCTGAATAGATGGTATTATTTTCAATTTTGTAGCAGAGAAGATTGAGGAAATCCCGGGATGCGATCATTCCTCCAGCTAATGGAGCAGTGATCTGGTACGCCACACGACAATGATCTCCAATGATCTATTTAAGAAATTAATGAATATTAACAGGGAATGATAAATAAAATAAAATAAAATACGTCGTAACCCCTGGGTACAAAGGAAAATAATTTTATCGGATGTAGCCTCCAAGTGTGAAGAATCAAGTTCTTGGAGCAAGAGAATCGACTACGAAGACATGAATCATCTGCGGATGGATACATTTCACCATCATTTGTGCCACGTGCATGAGTTATATTTGCATGAGGGATGCAACACAACTTAGCCATCCTGATAATCTACATCTATTCCTATTCGCATTCAGGCAGCATAGGCGTAGTAACTTGATTGGGCAAGGGAAATGGGAGGGAGGGACGATTGCTTCCTCGTCAGATTGGAAGGTCTTATAATTAGGGCTGTCACGATAGCAGTCTTCAAAAAAGCATTTGACCTTAAAAGCTGAAAATTAGTGTGGAATAATTTCTCAATCGACGAAATTTCACCAAAATCGGAGGGAGTCACGCCAATTTTATATTTTTTGTGCTGATTTGATNGGATTAACCAATGTCCGTTTCGAAATGAAGGGAGTATAAGAACAGTCCACTTCCGCAGCATGCACCTCATGAGATCGAGCCGGAGACTGAAACTGACGTTATAAAAAAATTATATTCTCGGTCTTCCCCCCTCTCCTTTCCCACTTCTCCGATCCGATTTTTTTTTCCCTTCCCGTCTTTCATATAGTCAGTCCCAGCATTTCCGGAATTTGATAGTGATAAAAAATCGCAAATCCATTCGGGTCACGCCGCTTCTTCCTTTCCCGCCGGGACGGACTGTATTGAACTGTACTCGCCTCAATCCAATGGGACATTTCCCCTTTAAAATCTTTTGCCGATACATCGCGATGGTCTAAAAAACTATCGATATCTCCAACTATCGATAGCGGTATCGATGCATCGACCTATCGTGACAGCCCTACTTATAATGATAGCATCAAGAAGAGAATTCCTGTTGTTAGTGTTCCTTATAACTGAATATCAGTCTCTAGATAATTCGCACATTATGCCAAGCTACTAGAATGCGGCATTCCAAATCAAATCAGCACAAAAAATATAAAATTGGCGTGACTCCCTCCGATTTTGGTGAAATTTCGTCGATTGAGAAATTATTCCACACTAATTTTCAGCTTTTAAGGTCAAATGCTTTTTTGAAGAACTGCAGTTTGAATATTGCCAAAAAGTGCCGATTTCTGGTTCGGTAGTAATTACTTAAGTGTCCATAAATGTTGTCTTAGTTAATGTAGAGAGATTATTTATATTAAAGTGAACTTTCAAGCTCTTTTGATGTCCTTTGATGCAATGTGTGTTTCATGAATTTTAAATGAAAATAAAGGTCGAAGACCACAAAGTTTAACCTTTGACCTTAACTTCGGAGAAAACGTCATATAAATTTTTCAAAAAAAATTACCTTGACATTTCCAAGTTTTTCTCTTTGGATGCACCAAATTTCAAATTTGAGACTGCCATAAGATCAAAAGTTATTAACAATAAAGTGACAGTAGGAAGATTTAAAATATATATATGCATGGAAAGCGTTAGAAAAGTATGAATATATCTGGATCATGCAGAAATTAGGGGATAAATCTTCCACTTTGAGTAGTGAAAACAACATGTTGCATAAGCTGTCGAGATGCCTTGACTCATTGATGGAATATCGAAGACGGGGAAAACCAATTGAGACGATATCTCCTTTCCGGTTTTTTGACTGGCATGAAATTCCATTTCCGCTGCAAAGAAACAGGATCTTAATTCGATTAAGCCTCTAATCTTGTTCTTCGGCATTTCATTTCTCGCATGTTTCACCGGCGATGACTGTGCTCGTAGATTAAGGCGTGCGCAGCACGATGACTTCTAAATTATATGATTTGCTTGGAATATGGCTGTTAAAGTACGCATGTTACATCCTGTTTTGTTTCAACTTACTTATAAAAGGCATATTTTATCAGGTGTGTTCCATTCGTCCATGCACCGATTGCGTGATCCAAAGTTCTCTTGCTGAAATTGAAGCGGAAAATTGGGGGGGGGCGAGAATATGTTAGTTGAAGTGGAAACTACCGTGGTCGACTGGGTCTGTGCTGAATATCTATCCGAAGGACGATAATTGCACTTCCCCTTAGAGCTAGGTATTGATGTGTTACGGAGTTCGCATCAGGTGTCAATGTTCTCCTTTCATTCGATAATGGCTAATATTCATTTTGCGTGAATAAAAAAAAATGAAATGAGCGTGATGACATGTTAGAGAGAAAATTACATGCCTAAATTTATCCAAGAACCGAAATAACTTATTTCGATGTTAGAAATACTGGACAAATGTATATTCTGAGAGACATGTATGTATCTATAGCATTCAAGTATTATTGGTAATTATAGCATCTAGATGCAGGATGTAGCATTTGTCTCCAGGTGCTGTTTAACTAAAATGACGTCGTGGTTGTGTTTCAGCACAACGATGGCCAACCATGAGAAATTCAGAAGCTGGCGAGTCCTGCCATTGTAATTCGCCGGGGGAAAAACTCTTCCCATACAGAGTTCACTTTTTCCATTTGCATGCCGGCAGATCTGAAAGGTTCTATACGCATGGATTCCGTTTGCAGAATGTCATGTCAGTCATTAATAGAACAGGTCAAAAATGAAAAATAGTAAGGAGTTCCTCTTACCTCGACAAATTTGAATTTGATGACATTACGATTCCATTCCGGGGTATTCTCTCCATTATACCATACTTCGTCGAAGAGCTCTTCGCAAGGAATGTCCAATATGGCCTAGAGAAATTCATGTATATCATTATTACGGCTCCTTTCGAAAAGTTTTTATTCGTAAAGAATCGTCGCTTCTCCTGGGGAACTGTTGCGACAATGCCAGTTTTCATCGATGGAATACACCTTAACCTCAAGCTATGTATAGACCTTGAGTGGATTCTCCAGTGGTTAATACTCGTATATGAAGCTCTCGTGTCGAGCAACATTCTCATGATTACACTCTTAGAAAAGCGTGAGCGATTTCCGAGAAAGGGAGCGAAACTGGAGTTAGCGATTTTACTCCCTAAAATCAATGAAGTATTGCCGCTCACCTTTCTCTTTCCTGAGAATAACCACTAACTTTTTCTACTAGTTGAAAAGTACTCTCCATCCTTCGTTTAGCGCTCTTAAAGTTATGGATTCTGCTCGTATGAAGGAGTAGTTATCGATTGTACTTTCTCGTTTTTAGGGAGTAAAATCGCTAACTCCAGTTTCGCTCCGTTTTTCGGAAATCGCTCATTCTTTTCTTAGAGTGTAGTCAGGAGTCAGGAGAGTTAGTGATATCAAGAGGCGATTTCGCCCATTTCGATATCACGTGTCGAGGTCGAGCGTTCCTTAATTTTAGGGTAGGCCTAACCCTCTTANGGTGAGACAATTTCGACGCCTCCTAAAGCCGTGTTGAGAGTCCCGAATGAGCGCGTTTCCTTCTAGGAAATCCAAGAGATGGTCCCTTAGTATGCTCTCCATGATCTTCCCTGGGATACTCGTGAGACTTACCGGCCTGTAATTTCCTGGATTACTCTTTTCGCCCTTCTTAAAGATCGGTACGACGTACGACGGTACGGTGTACTTGAACGGTTGTGAACTAACATCTGCCTCTCATCTATACACAGCCTGTAGCAAGAAGACAGGATGAATATTGATTCATTCAGTAGTTGGGGTATCAGAAAAATGAGGGGGACAGGCAGTGTAATTTCTTAATGCAATCCCATCCGTCACTGGCTTGAGATAACCGCAGCGCCATACATGATGAAACACTTATCGATGGATCTTGCTGATCTTTACCCCCCATTGTTACATCGCATGCGTAGACTTACCCCAAGAATAACTCACTTGAGTGAGGAAGGAAGTCCTCTTCGTGACGGGATCATGGAACTTCTTCACGAGAAAGCCTTCGCTTGTGAAGGCATCCATCGTCTGCCACCCCTTCAGCTTCACATTTTCCTGAAGGGTCTTGATGATCTCTTCTCCTTGTTCCACATAAGTTACGAGATCTGGCTGCAGCAAACCAAAGGTCCTTCTTTATTTCTATAGGCGTGAGGTCATATGAAATGGAATGCGATTATCCTCCTGGCTCACCGAGACGCCCTGGAAACGTTGATCGCTTGCTTGCCCCGTTGCATTTGGCTTCAACACGGTCGTCGCTTGAGGAAGAGAACGTTTTGTGATTAATATCTCTCGCAACCTAGTTTAGTTCAGAAAGAACGGCGTGAAGTTTTCTCTAGATGAGTTTTAGTTAGACGCACTGCACCGATTTAACTCCTTGAATTGATTTGATCTCATAATGCTGTTAGCCGTGTGCCAATGTATCCAATGCATCCGATGAAGAACGAGCATGTATCATTCATTCATGATATTCTTTTCGCGAGAATGTTTCACCAGTGTGTGGCCGGCATAAAGCTAAACTGATGCTGCATAAGTCACTCCTGTCAAACTCAAAAACTCCCATTCTAAGAAATCGAATCTTTTCAAAATCAATTGTCCTCTATCAGTAAGAGGACCACCGGAAAGTACAGTATGTTTGACTCGCAACAGCCTATAGCTTTACCATTCGCGTTTTTAACGGCATGAAATAAAAGCTGAGCGTTCTCAGGTTAGCTAGAACTCTCAGAAATATTTTTTAACTCTACAGCGTCAAAAAGATAACGAATTTTCAGAACTTATTGATTTAGAAAGGGCGAATACGACTTCCGCCTGGATTCCTCTGAAGTAGAAATTTGAGAAAGGAATATTTCCCTGACTCCCCATAGGAAGAAACAAAGCCCGAGCCAAGGAATATCCGCGCCTTTGGGAAGACGAAAATCGCCGGGATTCCTGAGCCTCCCTAGGTTCGGGGGGGGGGGTTAGAGGAGTGGAGCACTTTCCCTCTTTTCCAGGAAAAAGGAATGATACAGAAGGATACAGGGAGTGGAAAGTCGGAAGCGCCGGAGGGGCCAGACAGATCTGGGGCTTAGGATCTGAACGAGTGAACGGGAACTCCCTTCCTGGCATCTAGTTTTTTTTTTCCCGAGTGCTATACACGCGGCATTTCCAGTCATACCATGAATGCCCTGCTTTCTTCTCCGTGTCATCAATTGGGTTCAGTGCCGTACTATATCCAGCCATGTATCTTAAATGTGAAAACTAAAATTGTCAGTTAAAACAAGGCTGAATGATTCAGGATTTCTCGGCGATATTCGGCAAGGGCTCTTTCATATTCAGCCTCGGTCGTTACAATTTCGGCAGTGCCTTTCCCGTCGCTCCAGGTTTCGCTTAAATTTCGACCTTTGGTTTCAGTATTCTCCTTTTCAGTACCGGAGACACTCCTGATTCTGGTTATTGGCCCTCTCATGCTTCCTCCGCATGTTATGCTCAATTTTCACGTGTTACGGACTTCGCAAGTATATAGATAACCCGCACTGGCGTTCAGCGGTACAAAACGTGCAGGATATTCATCCAATAATTATTCCCGGATAGGGAATAGTGGAGTGCATGAATATAGACAGAACTTTCGCCGTCGATGTGCTTTCACCTTTGACATCGAATCAATAGGCATTGGTAGCGCCTATTACCTTTCTTCAACCCCTTCCAATCACAAAATTCAGCCTCTTCGTATTCCTCTTTGAAAGCATCAATAGGAACGAAATTAAGCATGCTTCTTCCTCTCTCAGCACAGAATCGCTCCAGCAAATTTGAAGCTCTTTCTCCCTGGGGAACAATGAATCTCGATTTTGGAATATGTGAATTTCATTCCGGAATTTTGTTCCTCCCCCCAGGGTAAATCCTCCGTGTTGTCCATTCCACCTACACCCAGACCACTTCGTGAGGACACTGTTACAAGGCCTCACAATTCCAAACTGCCTACGAGACAAAAATTCTGTGACCCGTTTTACCTACTCAAGGTCAAACCGCTGTGGGCTTCGCTCATTCTTCATACGAGCCACTCCTGACCCATTCTCCCGAGACATGAGAATGGCAGTCTGGATTCGATGCAGTTCAGGGCAACTTTCAATACCGATGCTCATAGCGTTGGACCTTGTGCAAACAAATCTCACTACGGTGTCAGTAGTTCTGACGTAACTACATAGACTTCACCTTCCGGTTCATTTTTTAAATGTTATTTTCTCGTTTGGACGTCACTGACAGAGGTTCAGAGAGGAAAAAAATTACCGAATAGACACAATGGCACGCTCCAAGATGGTGTTTTACCACTGTTCCTACAGGTAGCCCCCAGGAAGAAAACTTGCTTCTGACAGAAGCAATATATACAGATATGCCTTCATAGGATCATGGAAAGCGCAACGTTCATCCCGGCTCTGCGTGATGCTGGATGGACAACTTCCTAATGAGGAGTTTGGTGCTCTTCTGTTAACGAAGAATATCTTGCAGAACGAACGTTCAGGGCGTCTTATTTCATCACACCTGGCGCTCCGCTCTTGTGATTCGCCTTGGATGCAAGCTGGTACCAAATAGGGCCTTTTTACCTTTAGATTTGCGTTCACTTGTTGTCCTCTTGTTACTTCTTTTGAAGATAGACCATTAGAAATGACCAGGCGCTCAATTGCGCGGCACCACTTGGTCCATATTGTGAGGAGAGCGACTTGTTCAACAAACATCGCCTTAGCAACAGATGATAATTGCTATTAGACCGTGACAATACATTCCAACGTCCGATCGTAATTGACCATGACTCAATTCATTTTGTCCAAGGAAGGAGTATAAATGTGCGGCATGGAAACCGGAAACCGGAAGAGACCAACCAAAAGAAAGATATTAACCTGTAGATGAATAAAAGTGGCCTTTTTTTGTTTGCGGTGCACCATTTCACCGTAAAAAAATGAAATTAGCAGTCGTTCATTTGGGCTTAGCTTGCTGAATCCGGTCCCGTTCCCCAGTGTTGCTGGATATCGTGCTGGAGTTATGTCAGATTCATGACTGCTACGGTCTTCATATATCTGGATCATGTTTTTTTATGCATGGGAATTTTTTTTGCTGAGTTCATGTGATGAGCTAAGAATGAAACCGTGGTTGGCAGTGACCGATCAATGTGGTGGGATATGGATATATCTTATCCAGACATCCCTGAATTAACAGGATGGCGCGCACTTTGGATTTCATGCTTTCTGGAGGCATTTTCTCCTCAGACCTATTCGAAATGGTTCGAGGAGCTCCAGATAGGCCTAACATTACACGTCCACTCTGAAAATGGTTCGTGAAATTATGAATAGGCCTGCGATTGGCCTAACGTTATACATCCTCAACGAGATGTCTCGAAGACCACGGATTCACCCTCATAGGCCTAATTGGTCCGGTAAGTCGAGAAATGAGTTTCTTTTGAACGAAAAAAGGTAGGCCTTAGCGTGACCTGAAGGCAGTCTGTTGGTTAGGCCTAGGCCTAACGTTAGTGAGTCCCGTAGAGTTAGGGGGGTTGAGGTTGAAGAAAGAGAAAGCCTACTTCATTAAAGGGATCATAATGTATGGTGCAATAGGTTTTTCCAATTCGACAGCAGTAAGAGAATGACCTTAATTATCAACCTTAGCTTAAAAATCAACCTTAGTTGCATAAATTTCAGGAACAGCTCAAGTTGCGACAGGAATTATTTACTTGCAGGGTAGAGAAAGAGTTAAACCAGAGGTTCCCAGACTTCTTTGAACTCACTTGCCGACGACCAAAACAGTTCGCGACCCACAGCAATTCTGAATGAGGTATTTTAAAATTAATTATGGCATGATGAAAACTCATTGGCCGTTTTTGCAGTGCTTATTTTATTCTGAGCATGACTTGTGCGTTTGGTTCGCTTTGCAAAGGTGCTCTATAGGGCATTTGCGCATGTCGTCACAGATCGGGAGACAACGCCTCCGCGCCATGCACAGTCTTCGCACATCTTCATCTTATCCAGATAACGATCTTTTGCCGTGCCTTTCAGGGTCTCAAAATCGGAGGAAAAACTGGCGATCACGACGCAGACTTGAGGCTACACCCGTAACATATACCTATCAATGGAAACTCCCGCTTCCCTGTACTCCAGCATGGCGGATGTGCGCTCCGCCCCTGTTAAACGTCATTGTGTGACGTCAGTGTAAAAACCCTATTCTGGAAGGAATCTTTCCCATGGCGAGTCGGAGATCCGAAAATTGTTTTTATCAAAGTCAGAGCAGAGAATCCTGTTTCACACAGATATTTGATAGCGAAGAGAAGCAGCGCCCGTGTCGCCCTCTTTACAAGAAGGGGATCTAATACTATAATTGAAAGAGGCCGAAAGTTGCGGTGGCTGCCGTCTCTAACACGCGAGGCCTACCATGCTATGCCATTCTAGGAGATAGGCCAGGCCTAGAAGGCTCTGCTTTTCTTGGCCATAGGCCAGGCCATAAAAATTGAAAGAGGTCGAAAGGGGTGATGAATGGTTGTCATTCATCCGCGGCCTAGCACGCAATGCCTGCAAGGCGATGCCATTCTAGGCCATAACAACTTTGGGATACTTTTAATCTACTTTTAAAAGACTCACCCTGTAGATCGCAATTACTACAGGGTGTGTCAAGAGTCCTGCCCACCATTTGAAAATTAATTACTTAGTAATTCTAGATTTGATTGAGACGTGGTTTACACTATTCGAAATAAAAGGTAATTCTTTATTTAGTAAAAAGTGATTTCATTTCATTTGGGATTTATTTGTGAGGTGTGGTCTCGATAATAAAATTAGTTGGGCGGCAACAATTTCGAACTTCTCGAGGCTTGTTTAAAAAATTGTTCATGTTTGGTATGAATCGAACTGCTTCATATCTTTATGTAAATATTAGAGTAAGGTGGAAGGAGAAGGAAAGGAGGGGGGGAGGGGGAGGAGAAGGAAAGGAGGGGGGGGGAGAAGTGGTAGAAGTGTGCAAGGGCCGAGCTAATTCGATTACTCATGATAGGCGTATGCGGAAATAACATTTTTATTATTATCGGGGGAAGCTTGTCACGACCCGCCTTGAAGCCCTTCGCGACCCGCAGTTTGGGAACCGCTGCGCTAAGCGATGAGGTGGTGGCTGCCCCGCGCCGTGGCTAACTTCAAGAGGAGACTGAATGCCTTCATGAAGAAAACAAGGAAGGGAGTAATGTAGATAAAAGGGACTAAATGGAATAGGTATTAGATGGACTTGTCTGCGACTAGGATATGCTAAACAAAAAATTATAACCTTAAGAGAGATATCCTATCTAGGGATACTGAACGCTCGTCCTCAACGTGGGATATCGGTATGGGCGTGGTCCCCCATCCCTAATCAAACCTTGATATTTGGAATATGGCGAGAATTCAGCATGCTTTTTCGCAATGACCTCGACATCTACCATCATGCATGAACTGGTTCGCTTCTACCAGTTTATTCCAAATTGGATATCTTGTCAGTGTGTTCCGTGAAGTTCCGTTTTGGAAATCTCGACTTGGTGGCCCAAAATTTCGTGAAGCGTCACCGTCTGAATAGAACAACCTGACGCAGAAATGCACTGAAGAACCGACTTAGTTTGACGGCTATTCATGTCAGCTGCAAGTCAACTTGTGAACTCTTGAAAATATGCTTTGTATTCATTGTTTCACTGTGTTTAAATAAACAATAAAATTTGAGCGAGAGTTTCGCCGTGTTAGCAAGAAAAAAACTCCCTGGATCACACAGTACCAAGCAGGTTTCACTGCTTAAGGCGCACTGGAATATTCCAATTGTAGCAGTCCAAAAACAATGTCAAAAGGGAATTGCTGTTTCTTGCCAGCACGTGGAAATTTCCATAAACTTCA